ATATTGCGGATCTAATTATGAATCACCATCCTGCTGACAATCTCATGAAAGGAAATTGTGCATTGGCCAATCAGAAGCCTGGTGAGAAATGTGACTCATCCTGAAGAATTACCACCTGCCCTCAAATGATCACAAAGTTCACAGTTGCCCTTGATTATTACAATTTCTTAATTTCTCTTTTGTAATTAGTAGAGTAGCAGTAGATTAATTAACAAGTCTGCAATTTCCGATCCTTATAGGACTAGAGTACCTCTGACAATAATTCCTGGTTCTCATTTGTTCTACCCAAACTCTGGATTATATAATCAATTGTTTTCATTTCTGTTGAAAAAAAAAGTCCAAATATTTTCTAGCATTTATCATGCCAGATGCAATTTGAATGTTAAGTGTTGGATATCTAGCTGATCAAGTAGTTGGTCTCATTGTGTTGCTGCTGCCATTGGGGAGGAGAAGTATATGATTTTTATGTTGTGGATTTCTAATGTTGTAAGCTGTCCAGAGTCATCTTAGTTAGTTGGACAGCCATATAAATAAATAAAATATGCTGCATCTAGATCACTACATAAATTATAAGCACACATAAAAAGGAACTACCTAATATAATGTCACACATCCATAAGTGGGGGAATAAATTGTGTGCATTCAGTTTAGGTCCACCAAAATACAGAAAAGATATTGAGACTCTAGAAAGAGTGCAGAGAAGAGCAACAAAAATTATTGGAGCTGGAGGCTAAAGCGGGAACTGGGTATATCTAGTCTAATAAAGAGAAGGACTAGGGGGTGACATAATAGCAGTCTTCCAAAATTTGAGGGACTGTCACAGGGAGGAGGGAATCAACATATTCTCCAAAGCACCTGAGGGCAGGACAAGAAGTAGCAGATGGAAGCTTATCAAAGAGAGATTCAATCTAGAATTAATGAGAAATTTCCTGTCAATGAGAACAATTTAATCAGTGGAATAGCCTGCCCCCAGAAGTTGTAGATGCTCCCTCACTGGAGGTTTAGACAGCCATTTTTCCAGAATGGTATAGGGCAGTGATGGCTAACTTTTTTGCCATCATGTGCCAAAAGTGGGGGGGAGAGCGGGGGGGGTCGTGCATATCTGTGCCCACACCCATAATTCAATGCACCCTGCCCCCACCCATGCATGTGCGCGCGACCCCGCTGCGCTCCTCCCGCTTTTGGCACTCGATAGCACGGTGGGCCTGTAGGCACATTTTTTGCCCTCCCCAGGCTCCAGAGGCTTTCTTGGAGCCTGGGGAGGGCAAAAACGGCCTTCCCCACCCTCCCGGAGGCCCTCTGGAGGCCAGAAATGGCCCGTTTCTCAAATTCTGGTGGGCCCAGAAGGCCCGAAAATCAGCTGGCCGGCTCGCGCATGCGCGTCATAGCTGAGCTAGGGCAACGCTCGCATGCCCACCGATATGGCTCAGCGTGCCACCTGTGGCACGCGTGCCATAGGTTCGCCATCATGGGTATAGGGTCTCCTGTTGAGCAGAGGGTTTGTCTAGAAGACCTCCAAGGTCCCTTCCCTCCCTGTTATTCTGTTTTCTGTATCCCTGGATGTGTAAAACTGGTTAATATTAAAAATATTAAATTGACAACCTTAAGACTTCTATGTGTACATCATATATTAGTTAACTTAGATCCAGATTATAGAATACACCAACATTTTCTTTATCCAGGGAAGGGTAGGAGAATTGCAACAAATTGTTAGAAAAAGTAACCCAACTTCTCAGCCCAACCCTTCTTCTATGACTCTTTATTCTTTTTAAAGAAAATCTGCTTCTAATTAGCTTTCTATCATTTAAAATAGCTGCTTCTAAAATTGGTTCTGTAAACCTCCCATCAGTGCTAAACCACATAATTTTGCTTCTTACCAATTATGATCTCATGATTCTTTCCCACACTTTTGTGCAACAACATTAAGTGGGTTTTCTTATTTCAGTAAGCAGATCTCTTCCCGCCACCCCCCCCCCCCATTTTCCTTTCAGTTCTTGGGGACAGAGCAGGATCTTTGCTTTGTTTTGATGATGGAAAATTACACCTTTGCATGGATAAGTCACTCCAATAATCAAATTGAAGTGATTTATAACAGCACTTAGTGTTACTGCTAATTCTCATCTCCATCCATTATAGAAAATACATCAATCATATATTAGATTCATAATAAGGATTTAGCATATTGTGATGCTGTGATTATGCATCATAAATATTATTTGGTATATAGCTGTACTTTGCATATGCAGCTGGTCTTTACCCAGGACTAGTTTGCTCTCAGACATAATTTCAACATGTTTCTTGATGAGTACAATTGTCCAATTACCCCAGTGGTGGAATTCAATTTTTTTTTTTATTATTGGTTCTGTGGGCGTGGCTTGGTGGGCATGGCAGGGAAAGGATACTACAAAATCTCTATTCCCACCCCACTCCAAGGGAAGGATACTGCAAAATCCCCATTCCTTCCCCACTCCAGGGGAAGGATACTGCAAAATCCCCATTCCTTCCCCACTCCAGGGGAAGGTTACTGCAAAATCTCCATTCCCACCCCACTCCAGTGGAAGGACACTGTAAAATCTCCATTCCCACCCCACTCGAGGAAGGATACTGCAAAGTCCCCATTCCCTCCCCACTCCAGGGAAAGGATACTGCAAAATCTCTATTCCCACCCCACTCCAGGGGAAGGATACTGCAAAATCCCCATTCCCTCCCCACTCCAGGGGAAGGTTACTGCAAAATCCCCATTCCCACCCACTCCAGGGGAAGGATATTTATTTATTGGTTCGATTTATATGCCGCCCTTCTCCAGAGACTCAGGGCGGCTTACAATGCATTAAGCAATAGCCTTCATATTTTTGTATATACCTGCTTAGTAAGGCTTTCGGCACTCCCTAAGCGGTGTTCTTTTTATACAAAGTCAGCTTATTGCCCCCACAATTCGGGTCCTCATTTTACCTACCTCGGAAGGATGGAAGGCTGAGTCAACCTTGAGCCTGGTGAGATTTGAACTTGCAGTAATTGCAGGCAGCTGGCAGCTAAGTGCTACTTAATAGCACTTTAGTCTGCTTCGCCACCAAGGCTCCTTGGATATTGCAAAATCTCCATTCCCACTCCACTCTGGGGCCAGCCAGAGGTGGTATTTGCTGGTTCTCCGAACTAGTCAAAATTTCCACTACCAGTTCTCCAGAATCTGTCAGAACCTGCTGAATAGCATCCCTGAATTACCCTCTTATTCTCAGAATTTTACAGGGTTGGTTTCTTTTAAGGAAAAAAAAAAAGAAAAAGAAACACTCTCCTTCGTTTTTCCACTGTACTTTCTTCTGTCCAAAGAAAACTGGCTAAGGAGGGAAATAGGAAATAGCTACATATTGTATTTGGAGTTCTCTCTATGAAAGCAGCTGCATATGTTCTTAGAAGCCAAATTATATGTAGTTAATGATCTTATTCAAAACCTAAAAGAAACTTATTTTATCATCAGCAACTTGAAGACAATGAATGACTACCCTTACATTGGAAAATGTATCATACTTACATATATGAATTAACTACAAAGCAATGGAATGATCTCCAAAAACCCCAAAATGCATAGGAACGAACAGTTTAATTTCACCAAAATACAGTCGGTCACTTTATGTATGCCTTAAGGTGAGCATCTTCCTACTTCAATAACATAACAGGAATCCAACATTGCAAGTAATCCAGTAGTGGGTTCCACTTACCTTTGCTACCAGTTCGGAACTGTGAGCGTGCACTTGTGTGTGCTTCCTTCATTCACGCATGGCACTTCTGTACATGCGCAGAACCTTCTGTGCATGCGCAGAGAGTCCAGGGGGTGGGCGGAGTCTCCCACCACTACCGGTTCACCTGAACCAGGATGAACTGGTAGAAACCCACCACTGCAGTAGTCCCAAGGTTACAACAGTGATTGAGACTAGAGTTTCCATCACTAAGCAATGTGCTTGTAAAGCATAATGGCACATGAATGCTGTTTAGCGATGGCAATTCCAACAGTTCCCATTGTATCATTAAGTGAGGACCACTAGAGATGGTTGGGGTGGGTACATGGGAGGGTACAAGAGCAGGCAGGAGCATGAGTGGATGTGAATGTAGGCAGGTGGGTGCTGCAGAGTACAGGATTCCATATTATTTGAAATATCAAATCACAAGGTTTCCCATCAATAATTTTTGGTCTTTGTTTCTTCTTCTACAGTATTCCAATGTTAATCTTAGGGTCAGGATAAATCTGTTATTTGTAGTTTAACACCAATATGTATTTTGTTTTGTTTTGTTAAGTAAATGGATATACAGAAGTGGAAAACTAAATTATTTGAGACAATGGCATGTGAAAAGAATTAACTCCATGTTTCATAATAATGTCTGTGCACCACCTATTAATGGGGGAAAAAATCCTATCCTGGTTTAACTGGAAGGGCTGGAGATCCCAAAGGTGCTTTTTCAAAAGGCAACTGGATTTTGGTTTTTTTTCCTTAAAAATATTTTGCTTCTCATCCAAGAAGCTTCTTCAGTTCTGAATTGAACTGAAGAAGTTTCTTAAATGAAATGTTTTTGAAGAAAAAAACCAAGAAAGTCCAGTTGCCTTTTGAAAAAGCACCTGTGGGACAACTATGACCTGGATGATTGAGAGTCTCCATAGACAAGGGTTGGAGTTCTTTAAAATGTGAAAGAAGTACCAAAGCACTGGGGCAAACCAGTACTGTAACTAAAACTTCAAACATGTGTCCAACATCCATCACCTCATTACTGGAGTTTGATAACTGGAATAACAGCATCCAGAATGTAGGAATAAGACAAACTAGCTTACTTGATGCTGCCTGAAGTATGGGTATTTCCCTATGATGGGGATTGACTGGAAACAGATTTCCTGAATTCTAAAAGTTTATTCAACAACAGTTGGCCAATAAAAGCGAAGAGTATGACTAGAGTTGTCTGGAATGAGATAACCTATAAATATATTACATAAATAAATAAAAAATGTTGCTTACCAGTTGAGTCTTCAGCAGATGCTCTTCCACTAGTCAAATCCTCTGTATTTATTGATTGAAGATCAGTGTAGGAAGGGGTGATACTTGGGCTGCTACTGTTCTCTGAAGTAGTTGTCCAGCTGCTCTCTGAAGTAAGAGGTTGTCTCTCAGAATATCCCAAAGAAGGACACATCCAACAAAATACTTTTGGAGATGAGTCTTAAAAGAAAAAAATAAATTTATTATGTTTAATGGCATAAAAGGGATTATCAAGTACAAGAAAAGAATGTGCAGAACATGGAACTTGTGCGTTACCAGGGGGCTTGTTTCCAAACTCATTCATTCAGTCCAGATATAGGCAAAATGGTGCTGCTTTGTCCTGAATTAAGAAGAAAAGGCAATGCTCCAGGCACAAGTCTTTTAAGGGGACGAGTCAGAGCAGGCAAAGGTCAGGGTTATCAGCTGTTGAGGAGACATAGACAAGTCCTGGAAATACTGGAAAGATTAGGACATTAACCCGCAGCTCTGGAGCACCATGTGGCTCTTTCATCCCTCTGCTGCAGCTCCCTGTCGCTGGTCACCTTCACAATTGATAGGGTTTTCAGTTAGGACAGGTAGAGGAAAAAGTACGCTGCGCTAGGAGGAGACTCTAAGGTAGGGGAACCGGACTTCCGGTCGGCTCCAGAATTGAATGGGGGGTTTCCGGTTAGGACCTTTGTGGCTCTTTGAGTGTTTAAATTTGCCAGTCCCTGTATTAGGAGAAAGCAGACTGGTGGAATGGGATATTATCAGCTGTGGTAGAGGGAGGAAAGGAAAGGAAGGCAAGGCATTGGAAAGCTTGAGGATCAAAGGTAATGCAACATGCTGTCCTGGAACCCTGATCAAGGTTGTTGGAAGGAAATAGGGAAGGCATCGAAGATGCCAAGGAGATTGGGAGGTGGGCACATTAATAGAATATGACATATCTGAGAGCTGAAGGGAAAGAGGATGCACATGCCAGCCTTTCCCCACTAAGCACATAGAATCGTATACACACTCATATCGTGGGAGAACTATAGTCAGGGAAATAAAATGAGGGCACCTGCAGCAATTCAACCTTCTAGAGATTCCTGTTAGGTAAGAATGTGTCAGAGAATCCCTTCTACCTCTAGGAAGGTAAATCTGGAAAGTCATTTGGCTAATCCTGAGCACAAACATCTCCCCACCCTCCGCCCCTTTGAATGAAACTTTCTGATGGCATCTTCTATTTTGGATTTTACCTGGGGACAATAGATAGCTGTCTCAGTGGTGAAATCCTTTGCCACTGAGACACTGATTACCACCGGTTCGTTGCCCGTGCATGCGCAGTGCGCGCCAAAAGCGTGCTGCATGCACGCATGCGCAATATGTGCCAATAGCTTGCTGTGCACACATGCGCAGTGCTTGGGAAGGTAAGTAGAACAGCAGGGGGGGACAGCGCAGCACAGCTGATCGTCGGAAATACCAGTTCGCCTGAACTGTTAGCTTTTTTTTACTACCGGTTCACCCGAACCAGTAGTTTTTATCACTTGGTTCACCCAGACTGGTGCAAACCAGTAGCATTTCACCCCTGAGCTGTCTGGAAGAAAAGATTTCCTGCAAAATGTGAAGAAAAATCTTGCAGGAAACAGAAAGAAATCTAATTTATTTAGATTTCTGGGTGTAGTGAACGATTTGACTGAATGGCATTAGCATTTGGTTTTATTTTTCACATTCCTCACTCAGTTTCCTTTATACTGTACTAGATTTTCCTGAGATTTAATCCCTCATCTCGGATACACCTATGTTTATTCTTTTGTTTATCTTCCCTTTCTGAAGCCTATTTCTTTTAAACATACCTTTATTGTACTATGAATTTTAATTTTTAAAATTTTGCCATTTTCTGTTCTCAGGAGTTATAATTTGATTGCATACACCAGAAGGATTATGTCTCTCCAAATTCACTCTCAAATTCTGGTTTAAGGTGCCCATGAGCATAAAGAGAAAACCAAGCCACTGTGTTTGAAAAGAGGAAATGAAAATTATGGCCACAAATAACAGCTGAAGACCCTAATTCTTCCATTATCTAGGTTGTCTTTTCATTGGTGGACAAGAATTTCTAAACTAGAGAATGTTCTGCATGATACTTTTGGTAACTTCATCTTAAAAATAGACCATCTGGTATCTGGTCAGCAGGTCAGGATAATTGCAAGGAACTTACTTATGCTTAAGGTTTTCCTTAGTGTTTTTAAGGAGAAGTGAAGTGTTAGTATCACTTTATAATGTCTTGGTAAGACTACACTTGGAATAGTGCATCCAGTTTTGGTCGCGACAGTATAAAAAAGATGTTGAGACTCTAGAAAGAGTGCAAAGAAGAGCAACAAAGATGATTAGGAAGCTGGAGGTTAAAACAGATTGCAGGAATTGGGTAGTCTAGTCTAGTGAAAAGAAGGACTACGGTGACATGATAGCAGTTTTTTAATATTTGAGGAGCTGTCTAAAATAAGATGAGGTCAGCCTATTGTCCAAGGCACCTGAGGGAAGCACAAGAAGCAATGGATGGAAACTAATCAACGAGAGAAGCAACCTAGAACTAAGGAGAAATTTCCTGTCAGTGAGAAGAATTAACTAGTGGAACAGCTTGCCTTCAGAAGTTAGGAGTATTCCATCAATGGAGATTTTTAAGAAGAGTTTGAACAGCCATTTGTCTACAATGTTACAGGGTTTCTTGTTTGGATGGGAAGGAGGGTTGGACTAGAGAACCTCCAGGGTTTCTTTCAACTGTATTATTCTGTTTTGTCATTTTATTATTCTTTCTATGATCATGTGCATCCCTCCCATTAAACCCAAAGAAAGTCTGGAATGGTATAGGATATCCTAGCATGGCCAGGGGGTTGTACTAGAAGACCTCCAAGGTTCTTTCCAACCCTATTATTTTATGTTCCTACTGAGAGAAATTTTGGCTGACTATACCTTAACTTAATTTATAACAGAGCAATGTCTATTAACTGTGCTGCATAGCTGCAATATTTAGATAGGGACACAAATAGCACAGAAATGACAAAGCCAGTTAGATTGGCTCAGCAAAAAAGCTGAAGTTGGTCATAAAGAAAGTAACAGTCTGTATGACACCAGACAGGAAAGACAGAACAGAGAACAAAGCAGAGCAAAACCAACTCTATTAACACATGAGATTTCTCCTAAGTGATAAGCTTTGGTGTTAGCCAGACTTTACAATTAAACTGAGTGCTTCTACAAATTCAGAGGATTAATATTAAGAGAGAAAAATGGAACTTATATACAGCAATTCTTAACTTCCTGAGACAGATGATGTAATGCCAGATTTATCATGATGATTTGGGATTTAAGTGGCTTCCACTTTATTATGACAGAATTATGGTTGAATTTAAAACTGCTTTTTCTTAAATATTGTTTTGTATATTCTGAGTTGTTAGTTGCATTTTCATCCTCATCCCACATAGAATTACTAAACCTGAAGGTAGTAATTCTTAACTCTTCTGAAGATTTACCATAAGTCTGCTGGAAGGAGTAGCAGGGAAGAAATCTGGAAGTCTGATGCTTGCTGTAGATCACATTCAAAGTAACTTTTAATGTAGGTTATTTGGTTGCATGCATACATCATTTATAAAAACAATTTCTTAGTAAACAGAATATCAGGCAGTATATACAAAACTTGCAGATGCATAATCTATATGTTCATACAAAAATCTCTGCAAACAATCTGTACATACTCCAAGAATATATGAATATGGTTATAGTTTCTCCTCAAATGCCATATTCAAAAAGAAACTACCAATGAGACTATTAAAATCATAGCTATCATTCCATAAACCATGAAATAAAATCCTACCTGGTTTAAATTTTTCTAAGAAATTAATCCCTCATGTTTCCAGTCATACTGTATCCTTGCAGTGGCCTATATTTGAAAGTAAGTTACACTAAAGGAGACTGGACTTCTGACAACACTTTCAGCAATTCAACTGCAATAAGCTTTTACCCTGACACCAAATAGTATTTTTAATATATCTTCATTTCTAGTTACTGCTTTCTTTCTGTTGCTATTAACCCTGACTTCATATTTTCTAGCTCCAGACTAGATAATAAGTATCATGTGAGATTTGCCCTATTGTGAATAAGTGTTCCCAAGGATGTGAGATAACTTCCTTGTCACCTGAATTATTTTATCAGGTTATTATTTACCAGGGCTGTTATTTATCAGACAAAGTCCTTGGGAAGAGTGTAAGCTACACATTGCAATCAAAACAGATGTTTTCTGACTCTAGTTTTCATGCCTCAGTAAATTCCAGGTTGCAGATCAATCCTTCAGTAAATCTAACTGTTAGCCAACTGGCTTCAGTCCTCCCCTCCCCCACAGGAGACAAATAGCTTAAAGGAGATGATCAAAGTCACTTCTTAAGCCCTCATTTAGTTATTTTCTTATCATCCCACTAATACCATACTAGTCATATTCCACATACCATTACTCATATAACTAGATGAAAACATAGGAATTTTTATTTTTTTAAAAAAACTAAAGCTAATCAAATATTTTAATCTCAACATTACATATTTTAAAACTGCAGACTAACCAGTAGTAGACCTTTGTTATGGTAATGCAGCACATGTGTGCAAAAAGAAGGCATATTTATCTTAAAAGGCAGGTAAAAAAGAGGTAAAGTTGTTTGTTTCTAAAGCAGCAATAAAAAAGAAATAACTTGTCTTCATATTTCAAGTCTGTGAAATTCTTTTTCATCTAGCACAGCTTTTTAAAAACATTTCTTTAAAAATGAAATAAAAATAATCTGATGTACTGGGTTGTAATATTAATTTAGTTCCCCTGTTTCTCACCACATGCTAGATCAACTTAATTATTTTCTGTTTTAGTAAATATTCCAGGAAGAAGAGTCTGTGTGAAACCCAATCCCCTGTTGTTATAGTTTTACTGATTAGTTTAAATGAAAAACATCACTCCATCCAATTGTTTGGAATACCGAATCAAAATTCAGATTAGATTCCCTTTATACGTAGGTTCTAGAACACCTAGCACCCATTGTTCTCCTAAAAAGCTGTATCATTTGCTACCAAAAACTTAGCAAATAAGGCAACAACCAATGATCTGTATGGAAAGTATTTTACAATATACTTGTTTAATACCTGGATGGCACACTGACTCTGGGCAACAGGAATGCTTTACATCAAACTTAGAAATTTGCTTCCTTTACCAACATGCTTAAGAAACATCCACAGTACAAGTTGAGTCTTAAACGTCCTAGGTCAAATAGTACAGAAACTTCCAAGAAGAAGAACTTGAAAGAAGCTGAATTATATATTACCATCCCAGTTCTTCATTAATCCAATTAATATCCATTAGGTTGTGAATGCTAATTGAATGATGATGGGAATTATAATCTAGGACATTGGAGAGTATCAGGTTAGTAAAGGTGCTGTAGCCTATTGTTAATCCCTGCTATAAAACACAATAAATAAGTGACATTCCAACCTGTATGTGGATGCTCTGGTGAATTGTTGGTCCAAGGTGCATCTTCAAACTGGACCCATGTGCTGAAGGATGAAGGCAGATCAAGACCTACAGTTGTTTTGTTTATTCTTTCTCCCAATTCAGCATGTGAAAAACTTGGCAGTTCTCCATCTAGATTTTGGATGCCTTCAGAGGAAGTATCAGAGGAGGAAAAAAATCTCTCAAGTGGCTCCCTAGTATGACCTGTAATGAGAACCACACTGTAAAAATGAGTAACATGGCATCACACTAATTGCTTAAGAAGGGCACACAACTTTATCATCTATTAACATATGTGAACAGTATAGAATGACTTTAATGCTCTGTGTTTGCTAAACAGAAAAACAGAGTAGTCACACTGAATATCTTCAGACTTTCTTCTACTTTTACCTTCAGACTCTCCTATGTGATTTGTTTCAACTGAGTAAGGTATATGAACTCAGCTTCTGTGAACTCTAAGTCCTGGTCTATGACTTTGTATTATAGCTAAATCCAGCCAACTAAGTTTATTCAACAGAGCATTTTCAAACAGAAGCCAGTTATTATGTAGAAGAAATGGGCAAATACATATTGAAATGGCAACATATGGGGTGTAAAATGAAGACACTACAGAAGGAAAAGGAAAATTAGCAAAGGACTGCTACCGATACTCTCTTCCTTTTTGTTACAGGAACTTCTTAGCCTTGAGTTTTTGTAATGAAAAGCTCTGCCCAGGTTACAATAAAATTGTAGACGTGGAAGGAATCCCATAAATGGTTTAGTTTGATCTGTATTTCAATGTACACTAATAAAATTCTCATTTCTCTAAACACAATTGTGTCAAAGCATACTACTGCATTCTCTTTCTCTTTTTAAAACCATGATCTACTATGTCCTGGTTGTCTATCTGAAACCAGATCCTTAGGACTATATTTATCCTGCTTCCTTCCAGAAGCCAAGGAAACTGGACATCATGGCCTCATTTTATCTTTATTGACATCTTCTGAGATATATTGGGTGAATGATCCAAATTTACCCAATAAGCTTAATGGCGGATATGGTTCAGTGCAATATTATATTTCAGAATTTTTTTTTGACACTAGGCTTGTTTTCTCAAAAATATTTTCTTTTAGTCACCTGAAATCCTACCAGTTTCTACAGTATATTCTCCAAGATTTTACAATCTCATGCCAAAATCCAAGTATTTTTGTATTCAAGAATACTGGAATCCTCCCATTTTTAAATATAATTTTAAAATCTACATTTTAAAAATTATAGTGGACGCTCTATAGCTGTCCCTTATATTTCCTCTATAACTGTTACTACATTTTATAGTAGACTATCTGGGATCTGATCAGGAGATCGGGATAATTACAAGGGACTTAGTTATGCACAATGTTTTCCTTAGTCTTTTTAAGGAGTCTTCTTCTGGTAACATCCAATTGGAAAGTGACAGAATCCTATAGGTGGGGAGTTGAGGATGGAGAACTGTACACATGCAGAACTTTTATTCATCATAAACCACATGAGGTTTTTGTTTTTGACTACAGCTGAATTCAAATGCTTATTCATTTCAATAAATAGCAAGAACCTATATGTCATGAAAAAGGAGAGTTTTACCTTGGGAAGTAACAGAACGGTGAAGGCCGTCACTGAAGGAGACCCACTCAGACTGTGGGGAAGGAATGATGTTGGCCAGAGATGTCATGCTTGCTGCACTTTCCTATTCATCTTCACATAATCTGAATCTAAGATAACAATATAGAACAGATACTCCAGTTGACTCTAAATTGTTTTTTTGTTTAAATGAAACATATCTATAAAGAATTTTTTTTAGGAATATGTAATTTAGCTGTATAGCTTTATTATATGTAAGGCATATAGTCTGTGCTTTTATCAACCACTCTAAACCACATTAATAATCTATAACTTTTATTTAGCAAAGGAGGCCCAATTAATACAAAACTGACATTACCTGTATTTATCTCGTCAGTGTCTTAATCACCATATATCAATGCAGTGTCTTACTCTATTCTTTCCCTTAGAGTTTCCACAATTTTCAATGCTTTTCTGTATTACATAAGAATGAAGATAATAAATTATCAAAGTCAATGTTGCTTTATCTTCTGCCCTTGTATATTTGCAATGTATAATAAATAAACTTACTAATGCAGCCGCAGACATAAACATGTACTGACATTGCTTTTCCTGCTTACAGTTCTTCAAACACAAATATAATCACTACAATTAGTGGCATTTTTAACCTCTCAACAATTTCTTTATCAACAACTACAAAGAATTCAATAAAGTCAACTCAACAAAGAAATTTCTCACGGAACAATGAATCACTGGAGTATAATATGACCATAATGCTGAACAGAGGGTATGGGTTTTCTACTGCAAGTTATTTCATAACAAATTTCAAACACAAAATACAACAATTCCCATAGCAGCCTGACAACACAACACGCTGCACGAAAGAAATTGTAACAGGTCCAGAATGCAGCTGCATCAGCAGTTGTGGGCATGGCTCAGGACACTCATGGAATATCTCTGCTGTGCAAACTAAAATGAATTCCTAAATGCAATTCAAGGTAGGCTGTTGATCCTTCATAGCATAGGGCCTGACTTTCTGTGGGATCACCTTTCTCTCATTGTTTCTGCTCAATGGGCATTTGTTCTCGATCCCATCCAGGAAACGATGTCATCTAAAACAGAGTCCCCCAAAATAATAAATATAAATAAATAAATAAATAAACAAACCTTTCTGGCTTTGTGGACTGGCGGGTGGGGGGAGGAGAGGGATAGTCCTGCTGCTTGAGAAAATGGAGCATGTGCACATGCGCTTGCCTGCTGCTTGTGCAAATGGGGACATGCTCGCCCTCCAGTTCCGTGGCCCAGTTCCAAATGGCTCACAGCCCAGTAGTAGGACGTGCCCTGGTGGTTGGTGACCCCTGATCTAAAGGGACCCCGGAATCAGGCTTTCTCTGATATGGTACCTGTCCTCTGCTATGATATTCCCCAGAGATCTGAGTTGCCTTTGGCCTGGCCGTAGCAAGCCACAAAAAATGCATCTTTCCCAAAGCCCTGGGATGTTTTGTGGAATAATTTGCATAATCACATCTTGTTCTTTTTTGGTTTCCATTGATTTCACCATTTTATTGGCTTTTTAAAATTGTTTTTATTGTAAGTCACTTTAGGATTGGTTAGTTCTTCACATTGATTAAATAACTCTAAAGTACAAGAAAACGAATGCTTTAGGCATGCTCAAAGAAGTTGGTGTCCTATCTGCTGCAGAATGAGAAAAATGTGATACATATTTATTTTAAAGTGTTGTAAGTCTGTCTATTGTCCCTAGTGTTCTAAGTAATTTATAATTACATAGTACATCATAAAGCAGAAAATGAGCAGAGAAAAAATTCAATGCAGTAACCATTGATAATCTGAACCCTTTAAAAAGCAATACATTAAAAGAAGCAAGTAAAACAATCTAATGGGATTAGTGCAGAAATAAGGCTGCTTGTCCCTAGTCTTGTCCACAAAGAGGTTAAAGCTAACTTTACCATAATTCAGCTGCTTCAGTCTCCAGATTATAGATGTTATGAAGTGGCACCAAATAATTATTTTTACCATTACATGCTGCTGCCAAAAACAAGGAGAGACTCTGGTGAAGCACAGATGCTAAAATAATTTGATTGACGTAGGGTATTATGCTCTGCCTCAAGCAGCAAAATAGTTTGGATTATCATTGAAGTTAATCCTGTAAACAAGGTCAAATATCTTGTTATTATTTCTCCATCTTGGAAGAAGAATTATGTCAGACTAGTGGATTGTCTTGAGATGCCTATATACTCTTCTCAAGTTATAAAAATTCAGTGATGAGTAACTAAAGAATCAATTGTCATTTATTTTTATATATGTTATTGTCTTACTGTTCTTTGGGAATTAAAATATCACTAAGGGGATTTTCCCCTCATTTTATCTCCAAATAAAATTCTGTAAGGTGGGATAGAGAGCATGGGTCAGTTTGGCTCAAAATCACCCAAAAACTCTATGGTGAAGTTGGAAACCAGGAATTCCTTAACCACTAGGATAGCAGTGCCTCCTGGAGGTTGATTGAGAAGTTCAAGAGAGCAGTAAAAGTGAAGAAGGTAGGAAAAAGTTAAGAAAGACATGACATGTTTATTGTTAAACCTCTACAAATACACTTCACCAAAGTTTGCAATCTCTTTGTCCACAACCATATTTAGGGATGTATTAAATTTACAAACCAGAAGTATAAAAAATTTAAGACTGTAGAGATTACAAAATATCAATAAAATAATGCATATTTGTAAAAATTGTGTTATTCATAATTTAAGAAAATTTGTCTCACAATACTGGTAGTCCTTGTCTTACAAAGTTACAACGGCACTGAAAAAAGTGTTTTATGACCATTTTTCACACTTACAACCCAGGGGTGGGTTCTAAAATTTTTTACTACCGGTTCTGTGGGTGAGGCTTATTTTGTGGGCGTGGCTTGATGGCCATGGGACAATTCCTTAGGATTTAGAAGAGATACTGGTCTACCAGGCTTTTAACTGCTTGCAGAGCTGTACATTTGTTTTTGGAGGCACCGGTCTACTCATTTGTTTTTGGAGGCACTGGTCTACCCATTTATTTTCGCAGGCACTGGTCTACTCATTTATTTCTGCAGGCACCGGTCTACTCATTTGTTTTCTTTTAACACTGATCAGCTGTAGGGCGGCCCTTTGAAGCCCCGTGGCAAGAGTTTAAACAGTTTTTTTCCCTCTAGCCGATCAGCTGGGACTCAGGAGGCAGAAATAGATTGGGGGTGGGGCTAAATAAAAGGTAAGAATAATGCAGGAGGGGCGGGGGGGCAGAACCGGTTCAGTGACATCATATCGTCACCGCTACCAGCTCAGCGGAACCGGGCCGAATCGGGAGGAACCCAAATACAACCTTTGTAGCATCCCTATGATCCTGTGATCAAAATTCAGATGCTAAGCTGAACTGGTTCAACTGCTTCATACTTATGACCGTTGCTATGTGCCAAGGTCATGTGATCACTTTTGGTAACCTTTTGACAAGCAAAGGCAAAGAGGAAGCCAGATTCACTGAATAACTCTTTTCCTAACTTAACAAATGCAGTGATTCACTTAACAATTGTGGCAAGAAAGGTCGTAAAATGGGCCAAAACTCACTTAAGAAATGTCTCACTTAACAACAGAAATTTTGGACTTAATTGTGGTTGTACGTTGAGGACTACCTGTATATTTATCACGAGAGCCCATTTGTAGAGGTGTAGTGGTTAAGACCCAAAATCTTAGGCACAAACTCAGTTCATTTGATATAAGGCCAGTATATATCAAATCAGAATCAGTACACAATTTTAACATTTTTCAAAGAGGGGTGAGAAAAATACTTGAATGAGATGCTGCAAGAAAAGAAAACAAGGCTGGGAATGGTTTTGCCATGACTGTGCTAATTTATGCAGCTTCTTTGTTCTTCTTGTCAAGGAAACTGACAGGTTTTCTTCATAATTACCAAGTTTAAATACATTCCATAACTGTACTTTCTTTTCCCATCAAAGTTAGAAAACTACTGTACATAATTTAAGAAAAAGTCTGCAACATTTTTAGGCAAGCAGAAGCCATATTATAAATAAACAGTATGATTGCAAGATTCTCATTTTAAAAAATAAAGTTTGTACTGTAGATGGTATGTGCTTTATTTTGGTTTTGTCCCTGAGATGGGGATCGCTGCATATAGAAAGATAGAAATCTTTCCTTCTCATTAAAAAAAAAAAAACCACAGAGAGACAACAAACCAATTTAGAACATTCTAAGTAGGAACTCAGACACTTCTGATTTTAAGCCATTCCACTGAAAATAGTTTCTTTATCTTTATACAACTACCCTGTTCTTGGCAAGAAAGTGAGTTGACAAGTTTCCTTCACAACCGTGACATTTAAGTAAATCACTCCCATTCTTTCTTTTTGTCCCATTAAAATTATAGTGTACACTACTTAAAACTTAGACCCAAGCAATAGTTCTATTTTAAACAAGCAAACTGGCTTTGCAGATCTCTATTCAAGACATCTAAGGTCACAGCAGTGTTACGTTTTTGATTTTGCCCTTGAGACAGGGAGGGATCTATGGACTTCAATATTTTGCTGTTTTGTTCCCCCACCTGACTGGTTCAAACTGTTCTTTTAGCTTACTGCATACTTAAATTTCTGGCTAAGAATATTTTGAATAATTTTGAAATACAGCACTAATTTTTCCAAGCAGTAATGAGATTATCCTGAAAGGAAGACAAGGCAGGGCATCTACAGTTCTGCACACAAAATACATTTTATCTAGAGGTTCACAGAGGAAGCAAATGAGAGAACTTCCTTCCTTTTTTCTTTTTTAAGTATCCAGGAAAAAAAAACTCTCAGAAAGATGACAGGAAAATAGCATTGCTACTATAAGCATTGCTTTCCTTCATGTTTAAGTCTCTCCTTTTACTATCAATGGTATATCACTCTTTCACAAAACAGAAAAAACTGATAATTACTTGAAATAAATCTGTTGTACAATTTAGCAAGTTAGTTCATAATTTCTGAACTCATTTCTCATTTAGGCTAAGAGAGAACCACAGGCATAGGTGGGTAAATGTAGAATTTGAATTGCACTATTTATCTTTTCAATATCTAAATAAGTCTTATTAATTCATTTATACAATGAAAAAATTATAATACAGG